ACCAGTAAACTTGTTATGATACTTATTTGGTCCTATATAAAAATAGTGCCCGACTGCTGCAACCACTGTCTTGAAAATCATGTCATTACTCCACTGAGTTGATGATATTATAAAATGGAGTTTTCACCAAATACTTTGTCCTTAATAAAATGGTGCCAATTTGACATTCAATATGTCCACCACTGTAGCTAATTTGAAAATTTTGTTTTTACTGAAGCATATCATAGATGGTTTAAACTCTAAGAAGGAAGAAAGAAATGGTCTTGAATTCCTGGAAATTCTTATGACCTAGTAGAGCATCAATCACTACGAGGGATATTATTTTAAATGTTCTCTTTTTATTGTAAAATAACTGCCTATAAATATAGGAATGTTTATCCAGCATGTGAGTAAGGTAATTATGGGAGTTCTGGGTTTAAACATTACTAATACTTTAAATGGAGTCGATAAAATGATATAATTTGGTAAACCCAAAATCACATAACAAAATTTATTGCACTAGTTAACTTACATGACAGAGCTATGTGAACACTTGGCTTTTTTATTTCTGGAGAATGCAATAATCTCAGTTCAAGAAGATTGTATACTTTTTTTCAAAGTTTATGGGAATAAAGTGTTGTTTACATTATCTTAAGACAGTGAATATTGTATCAAAAATCATGTACTTCTATGTTTAAGGAAAGGTGCTGATTTACAGATTACATTTATTGGTTAAAACATTGGGTATTAGCCGAGATAATAAGATGTCAAAACATCTAAGTATGAAGATGGATTAAATTACATATTTTACATAAACAAATATAATAATTTGCATTGTGCTTAGTTTACAGCACAACATTCAGAGCTCATTAACAGAGGTCAGTATACAGTATCTTAATGTGGTCAGTATTCATGGAAAAGAAGGTACAATTTCTGATTCAAAATAGCATGGTGACATAATAAAATAATCGAAACTCACTGCACAGGATAAATGAGGTACTTAATCTACACTGTGATAAACTCGACGGGGTTCAGAAAGATGATATATATGTATATATTCAATGAGCAAAAGAAACAATGTAAGTATCAGGAAGTAATGTGTACTTTTTTACAAGTTTGGATGTGATCAGGGTTAGTTCAGATACAAAACAAGAATACAAATGTTGACTATTTCAAACATTAAGGAAGATATCCTTCAGTGTTTAAGGAATGATGCTGGCTTACAGATTGCATTCAAACATTCAAGCAGTCTGGTAAATGGCTCAATGGTTAGCATTCTGGACAAATTAAACTATATCAAAGCAAACCAAGACAAAGCAAACCAAACCCAACTAAATCATATCAAACCAAAACAAATCAAACCAAACCATATCAAACCAAACCAAATCAAACCAAAAATCTGGAGAGATGGATGAGTAATACTGTGCAGCATCAAAAGATTAAGTTACATATTTGATATGGATAAATTTTTTAAAGAATTCTGTTCAACCTGAAGATATCATAAATATAACAGTCTGATTAAAATCAGATCTCCACCATCCAATATGAAGATCTGGGAGTGACCATTTTGGGGTCATGCTCTGGCAACCTATGTTATTGCCATAATTGCTGCTTTTATCAGCTAATCAGATGAAGTCTTATATCTTAACATTTGAGAGATATGGCTAAAGAGTATCAATGTGTGCAAAACAATTTGATTTGATTTCAGGTATCTGAAAGCTGTATTTTAATTGACTAATTCAAAGGTCACCAGATTATGACCCATAACCTGCCTGATGTGAAGATCTGATTTTAGTCTGATTGATTACAATCTTACATTCAAAGTAGCAAATACTGACTCATTGAAGTAGCTGTCTGTTGGTTTGTTGATTATGACAGAAAGGCAATTTGTTAAGTGTATAGTACTTTCTAAAAACCTACTTTATATACTCATTTATATACAAGTCATCTGCAAACTACACAGACCCAGATCTGCCAGTGCTTAATGCACAAGAAACTGTGATCTGTGCAATTCATTTGGAGTAATCAGTAAAACACTAGACATAGATCGTAATCTGCAGGCGAATTATATTGGATCTTTGTAGTTTGCAGTTTGACTAAATTTATAAGCAAGTATATATAGTATATATTGTTTTAAATAACTGATATTGACCAACATTTACGACCCATACCCTGTGATCTTGAAAAAACAATTGCTTACACAAATATTTATCATTGGAAGAAATTCAATTGGAAGAGACCTAAATATGCAGTATTTAAACAGTGGTTAACTAAATAATCTATGTTAGACAACCAGTAAAAGAATTCCATTTTTATGTTACATGTAGATCTATAAAACAAAACCCCACCATCTTTGCTAGTCAAGGTTCCAATGTATTAAGCATATCTATACCTAGGCTGATTGTTCAGATATTTTGGTACTTCAGGTCTGTTAATTTCATTTGATGCAACATTGCATCCAGTCAAAGTCAAGTTGTTCAAATTTTAATATTGTTACTACAGGATCAAGACAAGCTGAGCATACAACTGGAATGGACACATAAATGAGCAGTTTTACACTGCTGGTCCATGTTTGTATAAGTATATTCTTTCCCTAAAATACATGTGTAGTGGTATCTCTCTTGTATATAATCATACTTTCAAGGATAAAATTACAAAGCATCCATCCTTTTGAAGTCAGTTGCCTCCACCAGTTTCAGCAGACATACAATGCACTAATGTTACATGCTATTGGTTAGTTAGTATTACTAAGGGAGACAACTGATGAACTTTAGTAGATATCACAAGGATAAAACTCTGAAATATCTGTATGATCCACCAAGTTGTAGATAGGTTTAACAGATTAGAACCTTGGTTAGTGAAGATGCCCACCACACCTGTCTAGCTGGTACATATTGTGAAAGGACAAATGGCTGTCCCTTTGAAGCCTGTGGTCAGACAAGGTTTGAGACCTCAACAAATGCAGACAAATTTACAAAGGAAGGAGAAAGTGTTTTTATCTTCCTCAGAATGTTTCACATTTTCCTCTGGTCTTGGGAGAATTAGTAAAGTTTCTTTGGAGATGCTTAATGTTTTTGGGGACCCTCGGAAGGGAAGAAATAAGTAGGTGGAGAGTAAAAGTCACATCTTGCAGTGAGGGAGGGGCAGCATCCTATTCAGTTCATGGGGCAGATAATGAGGGAGGAGTTCACCATCTCCAGGGATTAGCAGCACCCTTCAATCTCAAAGGACAAAGGGAGAGTGGTCTCCCCATCCATTCTCTTAAGGGAAAAGCTGTATGCTCTTATTAACCCAGTTTGGTGTTGCCTGAGGCCAGAAAGTGGCTCCCCCATGAGTGGGAAGCAGTGCCCTTTTAGTCGGGAAACCATTATCAGTGACAGAAATGAGCCACCCAGTAAATCTATCAGATCGTAGAATGAGTCTTCCTTCAGATTTGTTTGACCACTCACCAGTCTATGAGTACTAGTCATTGAAGCACAATATGTGGACAAGGGTCAGGTTGGCATACAGATACTATTTCAGGAAATGTGAATGATTTGGTATTCCCACTTTTCTGTAATCCCCCAAATCTTCCTCTTGCAAAGTTGGGTCAAAAAGAATGGAGCAAGGCCCAAATGCCCCAGGATGATTCAGAATCACTCTCACCCATTTGCCAATTATGATATTATTGACAGTACCTTCACTACATAAGAGGAGTTATGGGTCAGGCTCGCCCCATAAATCCAGGTCTCCCCAACAACAAAGTAACATTGGATCTTATAGTCCTACCTCCAAGGAACTAGTTGAAGATGTTCAGACTGTCGTTGTAGATTCTCATGTATTTGACACATAACAAGTTGAGGTGGCACCCCCTTTCACTTGGGGTCCCCTGTCTCCTTCCAACTGTTGTCATGGTGGCAGAAGAGGAAGAAGTCCAGTCTTTTGATGCAGCAGGACATGAAGTTTATCATCATTTGCCAGGTGAGCTATGTCCTAAGTGGTGAGGTTTCAAGGATGCAAGCTTTCTTTCCAGGTTGGAAAAATGCTTGTGGCTACCTCTCAACCAGATCTCTCACTTCTCCCACATTCGTGGCCCAGTGGTGTAAAGCGCTGACCGTTACGGATCACTGCCATCTCACCTATGTTTGCGTGAGTTTGAGTCAAGACTCAGCTAACGTGGGTAAGTGAGAAAGCCTGCCAGGAGCTTCTTGTGGGTCGGTGGTTCTTCCTGTGGTTTTCCAGGGTTCTTCCTCCACCATTAAAACTGGCCGCCATGTATAGCCTGTGCTAAAAAATGGCGTTAAACCCTATAACAATAACAATAACAATCTCCCACACTCGTTCATAATTTAAGAGCTTTCCCGAAGGCCAAGAGTTTGCTAGAAAAAGTAAGGAGTTGTCCATTTCCTGCTCAACACACAGATCTTTCGTCTCTGCAGATATGTATAAGCCTTACACCTCTTCCTAGCATCTTAAATGGGAACCTCTGCTTTTCTTCCAATTAAACACTGAAAGTCTTAACAAAAACAGGCTATTAGTGACCATAACATCCCTATAACTTTTCGACAGCCTTTTTATGCCATTTGAAGGAGGAATTTTCAACGTTTATTCGAAACAGCGAGTTTCACCACCTCCACAGTGATGTTGCTATGGACACTTCCAAGGTTTCCTTGGAGCACAATAGGAATCTTCTGGAGATTACTCCCCTGGTAACTGAGACCTTTCTCAGAGGGCTCATTCCCTCTGTGGCTTTTGAGATATAAGCAACACGGTCTATTGTATTTACTCGTGGCCTGTTGAAACCAGCCAAGAGAAATCATCTTGAACAGCCACAGGGTCCATCAGTTCTCCAAACCATGAATCCCCAGTCTAAGTACCAACCCAAATTCTGTGCATTTAACGAGCAAGCTAGAAACCAGGACTACATCGACTTGCCAATTTAAATCTCTCCTGGGGATCTTGAACACCACAGCATACTTCTGCAGTTTCTTATGGTAAACTGGAAGCCGCACAAGAACCTTCTGATTGCTCAAATTTTGACAGCTCCGGTGGCCTAGTGGTTAGAGCGTCCGCCTCGGATGTGGAAGGCCGTGTGTTGGATCCCCGGCCGATTCATACCAAAGACTTACAAAAATGGTGCTAGCAGCTGCCTCGCTTGGCGGTTAGCATTAAGAGGTTGGTGTTAGGACTGATCGACCCGGTGTCAGAATAATGTGACTGGGTGGGACATAATGCTACATGTCTGCGATATGATGCCCCAGTGCTAGACATCACTCTAAACTACCACACTGCATACATCGTAGCGATAAGACTGAAAAATTGTTAAAGCTACGTAAAAAAAACAAACAAATCACACACACACACAAATTTCTCAAGGTCTGGATCTGGTGGACAAATTGGGACTGATTTTTGGCCATAGTCCACATGCACGCCATAGAATCCCATTCTGAAAATTATGCAGTGTTCTTAGTCCTATAGTGTGCACCAACAAACGAAGAGGTTGCTGTATGATGGTCTCCTCCGACAGCACATCAATGGTAGCGTAACTCGGGCGACAGAGAAGCAAACATGCCCCATCTCTATGTGAATGTTGGAACCTCAACAACATTCGATCGTTCAGTGTCTGTTTCTTGACTTTGCCAGTTAGATTTATCAAAAAGCCAGCTTCCATTGGTTGCTCTACTCAATCAGATCCTTAGTCTTAGCTATATCTGTGTTGGTGATGATTGAAACAGCTCTAGGTTTTTGTATGACAGCTTATAATGGGTAAAGAAACGGTAGGAGGCATCTTATGAGCTTAGCCGATGATCCTGCTTCCACTATTTTGAAGTGGATTAAAATAACTGTAAAGAAAGCTTACCAGTCCTTTACAAAGATGGACATTGCTGAAGGAGATAAATCTCAATCGCCAATTGCTCTCCATCGTTTGTCGAAAAAAGTGTCAAACACTTCTAGGCATGCAATGTCTTGTCCATCAGCAGGCTTCTCCACCTCAACATGGACGTGACACTGGACACTTGCAAGACTTTACTAGAGCACAGCAAGAACTTTCTGCTGAACCCTGACAACGATGATTTCATTTTCTAAATAGTTTTTGAAGGGAAGAAATAAGTAGGTGAGAATGAAAGTCACATCTTGCAGTGAGGGAGGGGCAGCATCCTATTCAGTTCATGGGGCAGATAATGAGGGAGGAGTACACCATCTCCAGGGATTAGCAGTACCCTTCAATCTCAAAGGACAAGGTAAGAGTGTTCTCCCCATCCATGCTCTTAAGGGAAAAGCGTATTAGAAATAAGCAGAAAGTAGAATACCGAGTTTTAAAATGGGCGGAGTTTATCATGGCTGCAGTTTCAGGCTATCAAGGAATGACGTTAGACAGATTGGCGGTTTTTCACCAATAAGGTCAGGCTTCTTCCTGTAATTTTTATTTATTTATATGAAAAGAAAGATTACTTAGGTTATAATAAGAACATCCAATAATGTTGTAGGTGGAGTGTATCGAGGGAGCAATGTAATATGTGTGTAAAACTATTGTACGCTTTGCTTAAGTATTCATTTATAAATTTATTTATTTAGTGGCCTAGTTCATCGTATCTGCATATACTCAACTGTAGCACTTTAATGTACTTATGTCTTTCAATAGCAGTTTAACACTGGCATCCTGAACTAAAAGCTCCAAGGATTAATGATGATATAAAATGTATTATTTTTCTTCTTCATATTTAGTTTAATGCTGTTTTTAAAAAAATAGCTAAAGAGATTTTATGTGACAATTTATCGTATGGATGTTTAAATACCCAGTACCGCAGCTTTAAATCGCTATAATGAGTCATTTATTTATCTGTGCCATTCAGCATCTATTTTATCAGTGTATTGCTGTAGCACTCATAAAATAAAATAAAATTAGGAAACACGAAAGAAAGGAAAACTATACGACAGTAACAAGACTTAATATATTAATTAATGCAACGTTTAACTTCAGATAAGTTATGCAACAACAAAAAAGTCAAACATTCAGGCACCATGAACTGTATACAGCTTTGTAAAAGATGTTACACAGTACACGTACATCCAAGTATTTACCTTTATCATGCGAGTCATATAGAATAAAACAATGATGTGAGCTACAGCAAATAATATAACCAAAGAAATATACATATAAGAACCAAAACTAATTTGAACATTACACAACAATAATGTTCTTTTATATTTGATCGAAATATTACTTGTGGAGAAAATCTGATTACAAAAATAAACAATAGTATTAGCTAGAAACTGAATTATACAAAATATATCTGATTTGAACATGGATCTTCATATTATCCATTTCTTTGGCGAACATACAATGAATTTTCGATGTCTAATACATATACCAGTTGTAGCCTAGAGCTGTGAATGGGACACGTAATATTGCAATCAATTTAAACAGACTTGGAATAGGCCCCAACGTTATTTAAATGTAGATATTAGTTTTCACGCATCCCATTTAATTTAACATTGGTTCTTGCAAAAGGCAAATGGATGACTACCCAGAGGAGAAATGAATAAATTAAGTTCTTCCATTTAGATAAATGATCCGTATAATAATACAAGGTTGTAGAGATAACAAACGCAAAAGCAACAACACAACAAGTAAGCGAACAAAACGACAACAAGTGCAGACAGAACTGTGAAAGCATAGCCATACATTGAGCTTCTATGAAGAATCATCTTTTGTCTTCTAAAAAGTAACAAGTGACTATTCAAATTTTTAATCCATGATGAGTCCTGGTATACCCGTAATACATCAAATTGCAAAATCATACAATTACAAAAAGACATTTGACAATCTCAGAAGACTGAAGCAACATACCGTTTATGTATAGTTTCAGCACGATGCGATACGATCGTTTGTACAATGAAATCATGCGCATAAAACCAACAGTAAAAAAAAAAATACCCTGGTAAGGCCGCATCAAGGAGTGTTAATATAGCTGATATTAAATAAAGTTCTAAAATAGAAGCACCACTGACTGACTGATTGTTTCGTTGATTGGTTGCTTATTGCTCTGAAACCTAGCACAGTTAGAATTGTCTCCCTTAACAATACGAATAGGTAAAAACGTATGACAAGTTTTCGCTCTTAGCCGCCGGAGATAACGTCGAGACCGTTTTCTTATAATCTCTCCGTCAGAAATAAGCACTCATCTAGGTTTGTATGCTCTTGATAACTTTTGGGCTTATTGCACGTGCAGAAAGACAGCCAGGATAAAATGTTTGCACAATGTAGAGATTTGGCAGTTTGGGTTATAGGGAAGAAAGTAGCGGTTGCATAAAACATAATCAGTGATCAGAATTTAATTTGAACAACTATTTAAAGTGATACAGATTACACTTCTCGTGTACATTTAAAATAATAAGTCTCTTTTCATCAGATTTTTTGCCGGGTTATTGGCATAAATTAAGTAAAAATGATAGTGTGGATTGGATGGAGGTGTCAGACATTTTCACAGGTATGCATACCGAAGTAGTTTTTATACAACAGCTTTTTCAACAGTGCATGACTAAACAAGATTATTACTTTATGGAGGTGATTTGCATTTTATGCCAACACATATTACATGATACTAATACAGAGTCGTTGTTAGTCCTATACTGGTTATAGACCAATTCTCGCCCTGTACCAATTGTTGCCATATTAATAATAACTCACGACAGCACGCAAAGTTTTGGTTCCTATTTAAAAAATAAAAAGAGTGATTACAGCTGAAAAGCACGATCAAAAATAAGCATCAGGATAATATTATTAACACAGTTATTATTATGATGGCGACAATTGGTACGCGGCGAGAATTGGTCTATAACCAGTAAAGTGTACAGCGCTGACCCATATAGTTTTGATTCTCGTAATACCGACCAGGGTGACCGTTGGACCAACAAGTAGGTCTGCATTTTTTTTTATATATCTGACAGGTAATGCTGTCAGATATAAAATAGCAGAGACCTACTTGTTGGTCTAGGTGACCGTCAATGTATCCTGTAGTAGGACTCGTTGGGAATCGTAATTCCCTACATGTCATACCAAATATGACATGTTCCCAGCTGTTATGCAAGTGAAGTTTCAAAAGTTTCCATAACAGTGGACATGTTGTAGGGCTTATGGAAGCCCAACAATGTAACTTGTCAAACGACATATAGTTATTATGTGCCCCCTCCCGCTCCAATAATATTGTGCATTGTAGGACCAGGGTTTGAGAAACTATTTCATGCAGAGACACATTTATATATCACTGTGAGTTATATATTTCTCTGATTCATAGTATATCTTTCATAAATCATACTGCTCCTGCAATTCATCATTAATATAAGAAACCAACTATTTTTGGGGTGGAGGTAGGCAATAGTGTCCTATTAATTTCTTTCAAATGAGGATATTTGTTTAAATTTTTTTAAAACTTATAATATATTTCTTCACCTAGTATAATGGATATAATTATATTGTTTTCTTCAAAGTCTCAGAGTAATAATGTTTTGGCAAAGCTATTTTGGAGGCCTGAATTTTTGTTTTCTCTGAAGTTCTCAGCCCCATCACAAAAATCAAATGGTCTTCCCCTAAGAGAAAAAGGTGGCTTTATATTGGCAAATTATGTAAGAAGCTATTGTTGTAATTTATTTGAATATTAAAGCACTTATTTTTTTTTTAAAATGAGAGATTGGATAGGAATTTTGAATTAAGTTGGAAAATATATAGGAAGGCTTTTAGTAATCGTCTTGTGAAATTTTTTATGTAAATTGAAAATGTAAGAGATACTTAGAGTATTGTGAATTAAAACCCACATAATCCTAAATGTCCTTTCACAAGTCCAGAAATACAGACAGTTCTGAACGAATTCCAATAGTCTTGAATGTCCTGATGTGCCACAGTGATGCAGTGCAGTGATGCAGTGCAGATTGTTAATAATAAACTTCTTTGATGTAATTCAGACACGATGTTATATATGGTGAATCACTATCTATCTATCTATCTATCTATCTATCTATCTATCTATCTATCTATCTATCTATCTATCTTTCTGTCTGTCTGTCTGTCTGTCTGTCTGTCTATCTGTCTGATTGTCTGATTGTGAATCACCAGA